CTAGAAAATACTGAAAAGCTATTTCTTCTTACTATAGGATTGTTCAACAGTGGGCATTTACAACTCCATAGGAGATCGAATTGAAGAACTTGAGGCCTGGTCGATAGACCTCAACCTTATGACCACTGATTCACATTCCAAGATTTTAATGGTGTCTCATTTTTAATAGTTCTTCAACTGGTTTCAGCTCACAATGAATTTTAAAATTCATAACTGATAAGAGTATTTGTTTATTGTTTTCATTTTATCAAATGTGTATTAAATAGTTCAGGTTGTGGTGGATTTTTTTTTCCTGAGGAAGTAACAACTGATAAAAAAATCCTGAAAAACATCTATGATGTTTTGGAGTTATATTATTTATATCAAATCTATTATTATTAATATTCATTCACAACTAAAAAGAAATTCTGGATCAATTAAAGAAGTACAAAGAGTGAATAAAGTATCCCGAAGTAAAAAGGTCGTAGATATTATATGAATATTCTCGATAACTGACTAATATGATTCTTTCTTTCATTAACTAATCGTATATTATTAAGAAGAAAATTAAAGAAATTGCTATTCATGAATTTAAATAATCAACTGTAATCTTTCATTGAAACAAGTATTCATCGTGTATTCCCTTCGGATATAATTTATGAATAAAACAAACTAAAAAATGTTTATTTTTAACAATTAGTATTAGACATAAAAATTTTCTGGTTAACGTTTTTTTAGCGAGTTAGTTTTCTACGGGATGCGGTCGCTAACCCAATGCCCAACCCTCTTTCTTTGTCCGGGCTTGGGACCTGCAGTAGCCCCCGAAGGGACTCCAGGCAGACTAAATGCCTGCATTCTTTCAATCTAGTACCTTAGTACTTAATACACTAAATCGAATATGAATCATCAATAGATTGCTGAGAAAAGTTTATTTAATATAATTCAAAATTAGACAAAATACCTTCAGAATGGTAATCTAAATAAACTACATATACATACCTAGTAACAAAGTGAATTTTCGATAAACAAAAGTAGTAAACAAGTTCATCATGTATAACATTCATATCGATTTTCATAATTAAGATTATACGTAAATTATGTTATCAGAAAAGTTAATTGTCTAATATATATATACTAGCGAATACATGGATTTATTAAAACTCCGAGAAAAAGTTCAAATCAACTTACTGAGCTCTTCGTGCTTTCGGTAAAGGAGAACTTGTATTACCTACAATTTCTGAAGCCTTCTTCCCAGTAGTAAAAATGACAGACATATTTTTTAGAAAAATTGGTTAATTAAATAGTTGTTAATTTAAGAATATGTAAAATTCATATTAAAAGAACATTATCAACATGACTTTATATAGAAGATGAATGTTATAATATTCTTTTTTGTTATTCTAATTTACTTAACAGTAACTTAAGTTGTCATAACAACTGATCAAGTGATTATCCATTGGTTCAATGCCTCAACATTTCTTTAAACATAAACAATAGTTATACACAAAGATAGTTTATTATTGTTTTTTAATGGAAAGTACGTGTTATTATTAACATACAAACTAAGCAAATACATTATACAGCTTAAATATAAGAGATAAATATAATACTTACAAGCGATAACTATATGAATAATGTTCTGTACGTGACCTTTAATTTAATTCACCTATAAAGTGAATATATTAAATAGTGAAAAGAATAGTAATGGTACTAATAGTAATAATACCTAACTCAGTGTTCAAAGAAAATAGAATCAAAATCAATAAAGTGATGAAAAAATCCTACTAAAAAGATAGTAATTCTGACAGCTTCTAACCATAATATTATTAGTTCAAACAAGAGCTAACATTTTCTTTAGACGATATGTTGCGATAAACATAACCAACAAATACCTTGTAAAGACAGAAGAGAGAAATAACCTAATTTATCTCTTTAATGGAAATACATCACTTAGCTTAATATAAACAACAATCAAATTGGTCACAGAAATCTTGATAGATTTTTATTCCATTCTACAAACTCATCGTGAAAAATGATTTATAACGATAACATGAATACGAATAGTGAACAAATATACTCATGAAAGAACAAACTTTAAATAGAAACGGATAATGACTAGCAACGGAATACAGGATGGGCGTTACGCACTACTTAGGATTGGATGTACCTGCATCCTAGAGTTGATATTTATTCCGGTACCGTTCGTTTTAAATGCTATCGCGTTATCCATCTAATTACTGAGTTGAGATAAACGCCAGTTTGTGCAATGGCGTGAGAATGATTCAATTCAAACACTGATCGATTGCACTCCTATACAATAAATATAAGGTTTGGACAACCAATATATAGATCGAAAATATGCTCTATATAGCCTTCACACTAATTTAAACGTCAAGTGTTTTGAAAAGTAATATTCAATTGAAATCATGAACCGATCAATGTTAGACCACCACTGAGACCGTGAAAGCAAAGGACGGCCACCTCATCCTTGTATGGGACTCCTCAGCAATGCGTATCCTCGATCCTGCATGTTGGACTCGAACATAGGACCTCCGGTCCCACGTTAATGCTTAATCTCTGCAAACCTATACTGATAATATTTATTTATTCTCTGATTAGAGGTTACATCACTTCCATTTTTAACTTACTAACTAATCTCTGTAGAAATTTATGTCTTGTCTAAAGAGTCTTATGTTATTTAATAGCTGCTACATGAAATCCTTCTGTAGATGTGTTCTCTTACTCATCTACCCAAACCCCTGAACACGGTATTCGAAACTTATTTCAGATTAGACAACGTTGTCACTAACGTAAATTGTCCTCCATCATACTGAGAAGACTGTCAAAAATGGTGACCTACTTATAAGAACCAGGTTGGTTTTTGCCCACCTTGTAAGTTTATTGAGCATATTTGCATCCCCTGACAAATTCTTCAGAATGTCAAACGAACAGTAATTATATTTTTTGATATTCAGAATAACTATGATTAGTTAGACAGAACTATACTAAGAAATTTTCTTATGGGCAAAGAATGTGTCGGAGAATATAAGCATGACATTGAAACTTACTTGCAAAACCTCATGCAGAAGGACCTGATAAAACCACCTATCTTCATGCTTTAAAATATCCAGCTCAAAATTAGTATTTCTTCTTAAGGTTTCAAACGATTGTATTCTTTAGACAGGTTTGAATGACGCTTGTGGTGATAATTACTCAAGTTTGTTACCCGAAGCGCTCGATTACGATCCATATCTATGATACATACTTCTCATCATTTAAATACGAAGCCACCAAAAGACTGTGCCTGAACTCACCTCTCATAGTGGGCTGTTAGAAGTATTTAAAGATTCTATGTATTTGGCTAGTCCTGTGAGTGCCAGTCATAGGAAAGACAGTAATATTTACCTGAAAATGAAGGAATGTTTAGTACAACCATGAATTTATTTTGTTTGTAGACGTTTGGTTGCACGGTGTACCCAAACATATCTGCTCCATACTACTAGAACCTAGCCTATCCAAGTTGATTTTAACCAATGACTCCCTCTATTCGAACAACCGTTCCTGAGAAGGAATGTTTACTGTCAACGATAATACAATGTAAGCATTTTGAAATCTGGGGCCATGTGTTTCAGAAATAGTGACGACGATAATTCATTTAGTGTTACCATCTTAAAACAGTGTCTTTGGTCCCAGCGTTACCTTTTATGAATCAGCTCCCGTAGTATGTATTACTTAATGATGTTGAAAATCAGAGTTTAAAAAATGATATGACGGTTTAATATTGCCATCGCGAAATGAAATAAGGGTGTTTTGAATGCCATTCACTGGTTTATTCTGACCTTTTGGACAGAATTCTAAATATTAAAGAACAAGAGCTTAGGATGTCACCGTGATCTCAAAGAGACCTGAAAATAATCAAACCTGTTTATAAACTGATATAAGTAAAAAGTGGACTGAATATTTGTTGAATGGTCCTTGTCTTACACTGGTTCTCTAGTTGATTTCACTTTGTTATATATTTTCTTCGCTTGGAACTAATTTCAACAAGGAATCTGGTTAAATATGTATTCTTAATGAATACTGAAGTCATAGCAGTCAAATTTTGTTAATTTAATACTAATATTAGTTCAAATGATCATTGTCTCAATTCGTCTAAACTTAATTGTAGTCACATTTCTTGAAAAAATGTTTCATAACGATAACTTGTCCATATAAATAATAAACATATGTTATGAAATAGTAACTCACTGATGACAATGGTGGGTGTGTCGCTTAATTTCATGGATTAGTTGAAGTTAGACACTAACACTATTAGATGCCGGTCGGCTCAATAGTCTAATGGTTAAGCGCTCGCTCGTGAGACCAATAGGTGCTGGGTTTGAATCTCGCGAGGGGCAGGATCGTGGATGCGCAATGTTGAGGAGTTCCACAATAGGACGAAACGGCCATCCAATGCTTCCAGGTTTTCCATGGTAGTCTAGCTTCAATTGACCCATGATCTCAACTATTGAGATATGTACTTACATTCGATTTCTTTTTAAATGTTTAGGACAACATTTACAGTAATACAAACCTCACCAATTTTCACCACCACCATCACCAACAACAACAACAAAAATTCCATTCAATTGATTCATCAAACACCTTAATATCAACTTTTCGTGACTAGAAATGATTCGTTGGTAAGTTTAGTTTTAAAATAAAATTTTTAAAGTTTTCATTTTTCTAAATTTATCTTTAAAGAAAAAAATTATGCAATCTAGTCAATTAGTCTGAATGAAACAATTCTGCATTACGTAATAATAAGTCTACATATATATTGTTTACTCACTTTATTCACTATTTTCTAATCAAATTAGTAATCATCAATGAGAATGTGAATAACAACAACAACCAATTAGTTTGGTTGGTTACCCTTTTTTTTTGTCTAAATAGTCAATGTAATCAATTTTTTGATGAGTGATAATCACTTGAAATCATATTTATTCAATTCATTCAACTCAATGATTAGTTAACTTGTCATGGATAAACATGAGTTCAATGAGGTTACATATAAAAAATGGAAACATATATTTGGAAAATTTAATTTAAGTATACGAAAATCTAAAACAAATACAAATATTTATAATGATGAGAATCCTAATCAATTCATTAAACGATTTAGTAAATCATTCCGAGAATCGAAATGGAAAACAAGAGATAATATGAATTCATTAAAATGTACTAAAGAAATGGAAGAAAAGAATAAACAGTAAGTAATATGTTTTTTTTTATTCTGTGAAGTTTAACGAATGTGAATCATTATTTTGAATTTCAATAATTTTTGCCATAACAACTAATGTTTACAAAAGAGGAGTAAATGAATTATTCTATAGAAGTGTAATGATTATATTCGTATAATGAATTGCTTCATAACATTCTGCGACATAATAATAATAATAATAATAATAATAATAATAATAATAATAATAATAATAATATGTTGATTATAAAGTGTAACTTTGAAGTTATTTAGTTCGTCACATTATTCTCGTCTAACTCGAGTAGGTCTCCAGTCATTCTATATAGATCATCTATGTTGATGATCTACAAACGAAGACACCTGGTAAATAGTTGGAAACCAGGAGGAACTTTTCAGTTTCTTAGTGTTATTTTGAAGCCCCTCATCAGTGTTCAATATAGTTTTTTTGTGATGCTATTTACATACATCTAGAAAAATGTATTAATCACCTCTTTAGAATATTTAAGCCATGATTTTTAAATAAAGGATCACCATTATCTAACTATATTTCACTAAAGAGATAATGAACTGATAAATAATAGAACACCATTGGAAATCTGGAAGCAATGGACGGCCTGCTTCAGTTTGGGCACCCGGGCAGTATCACAGCCCACACACAAACGATGAACTCTATGTCTATGGCAACTACTTTTCTCGCTCCGAAAGATAATCAAAAAAAGAAGTTATAGATGGTATCAGTTAAGTTGAAATGCAAGAAATTTAAAAATGAATAAAACTAGTAAACAATAAAAGTGCAAAATATCTCACTTCAAATATAATAGCATACAATCAAAAGACAATAAAATGACTTATTTTAATACCATCTGGTTATTTTCTCAGAATATATTTACTTATAAAATAAGAATTCACCTTATTTATATACTAGAAAAAGGCAATGAACATTTTCCTTTTCCATTTATCAATACAGTAACCATAACATTAACTATTTTAATATAAATACTCTTTATATTGTTGAAAATGATCTAACATAATGGGCAATAATTTTCACTACTGAATGTTTCTTCTTATATTCTATCATGTTTATTAAGACTAAAATCTAATGTATTTTCTGAATATGTTTCAAAATTTCCCTATTAATGACTGATGTTATATTTTAACATAAATTCTATTCAAATTTAGTTTTCTTTTTTAGCTTCAAGTGTTTTTTTTCACACAAAACTAGAGAATAAAATTGTTTGAATGGGCCTAGTTGATACCACTATGTAAGATTATTATATCCTCACTTAAACCTAGGTTAATACTTTAGCCTCGGTCTGGGCACCCGGGCAGTATCACAGCCCACACACAAATATGATGAACTGTCGGTAATTATGGAAAATACTTGCTTCGATTAACAATCAAACGATTCATATTATTATTATTACTATTATTACTATTATTGTTATTATTATTCATTATTATTATTATTATTATTTCAACACAAATATTGGTACAAGAGGGCACCAAATATATATGCGCCACACCATATTTGTGTGTGTGGGCTGTGATACTACCCTGGTGCCCAGGCCGAAGCAGGTGGTTTTCTTAGGGGGCCACACCCCGAGCCTTATTATTATTTACTATGTCATTTATTCACTTTCTTTTATTCTCACTCTGTCTATCCTTATTTTTCGACTTATACAGCAGCTCGCCTATGGTCGAAATCCAGCTCTGTCTAAACGTCCTCGAGTAGAGACGTTATCAGATATGGCTCAAAATAGAAGCCAGTGACGATCCTGCTGTAACCTTCTTTTACTTTCTTAATCAAAAGTGGTTCAGTTCAACCAATTCAAATGCTACCCTACCACTTTTCCCGTAATTTCTTTGAAACTTTAGACTAGTGTATTTTTTCATTCGTTTGTTACAAAATACAGTTATTTTGTGATTACTTATATTTAATGTTGATTTCCTATATACACTAACTGATCTTCCCTATTACTAAAATCTTGTCATTCATTCAAATACAATTTACTTTTGATTATATAATTTCTACCAGATAATTTACAGTACATTCATGCACAAATGTGTTTTTCATTGACACTTCATAACGCTTACAACACAGAAGTATTCAGTTATCTTTTTGGAATTCCTGATAGTTCAAAATATTCACTTTGTAATAAGTTCATTCATTTTATAGATTCGATTTTGAAAAGCCTGAGTCATACAAAGAGACAAATTCAATGAAGTGTAATCCATACTTTCAACGTACATCTCAAAATCGGTTTTATAGTAGTATGTATAACCGCAAGTGCACCACTGAATTAGTACGAAATTCAAAATACTTATTTGGATCTCAAGAAATATCACCAAGAACCAAGGTAAGAGGATGTATAGTCTATTTACAAGTTGAAATTTAATTGTACTGTACAGATAGTATACATACCTTAAATGTAATGAGTATAAATCGAAGTTGGTCGTACTGTAGGAGCTCATAGTATGTCAAGCCCACATAGGTTATTCTAGCCTCTGGATAGATCAGCTTATTCATTATTCTCATACCATGTTTTTACCCTTGACTTATTCACTTATTAATCCTGACTGTTTTTTATATGATCGTATGTGTGATAACTACTTATCTTAATCATTGTGTGTCTGTAACTTATTTTTGTTCAACTATTAATGTCGATGCACGCTTGGCTAAATTTAGTTGGCGCACATGCCCTCTCCATTGAGTGTTGTTTCGCTTCGCTCCCTTTTCTTCGCTTCGTTTCTGCGGTCGTCTGTTTGGATCGATGATTGTATGAAATACACGTATTTGAAATTCATTCTCGTATTGGATTTATTTAATTCCGTTATTCACTAACGCGAGTTAGGTCGATTATTATATACGAGGGTAGTCAGGTTGTATATTTCAACAGAAATCACTCGATAACAATCATTCGTCTGATCTAACTGGAATCATATATTGAGTCACAAAAGTACGAAACTGTACTTGGTTTGCTGAATTGTATGGTATTTTGATGATTTATAATGTCAACTGGTAATGTATACTGCAAATTTAACAATTATACCAGTACCATACTGACATTGCTTAGTATAGTTTTTATTTGTGAAACAAAAGTCCATAGATTCATGACATTTTATTCACTGCTTGGAATGTACTGACTATCAGAACCCTTTCAATTAATAGATAGTTTTATGAAATAATATAATTTGATTGTTTAGGTTTTTCCTACGGATGGATCAACACTCTAACAAATGAATGTAGTTTTGAATACGATAAAATAACAGAGAATAAGTAAAAAACTTAATTTGTAGTGAAGATATGCAGCAAGTTTCGAATTTCTTTAGTATAAGCCTAAATTTAAATGAAGAAAGAGATTTAATTTAAGTTGACTTTCATGAATTACAGTGTGCAGTATTGAATGGGACGGAACTCAATTAATTAGTTAACTTTTCTTAAGCTTCTTGAATCGAAGTATAAATGGTCTAATGAGTACCCACTGAATATCATAAAAATACAGACCATGCTATAATGTTTCATAATTCAGAAATTTACATTTATTAGAATTACCCCTATTGTTTTTTGTTATGAAAAGTATATTCATGATTGTATAGCATATGATTGCAGGCCCTACCAGATAAAGAAACAATTCATATATAATCCTAATATCATAAATGTTTTTCACTTATATATACAATGTAATATTTTGTTCAGCTAGCTCAATATGATGTGAATATGGAGTTAATGAATAAATTCCGAATACTTGAAATACGTGAACTGGAAAGAGAACCGGTTAATCGAATGAAAGGATGTAGAACTTCAGAAAAATGTGTACAAACATCACTAGTCGAAGAGCAGACCACATTAACTGAGGTATGATATTACTATTGTTAAATATTTATTATTCTAATCAAAATACTACAAGAAGCACATTCATTAGAAAGTGTTCACATCTAATTGTATCAGTTATATTCATTTCTGAATATTACTAAATAATGTTATTACCATGCACAATCATGTTCTGATGGATTTAATGCAATTCATTCGTTGAATATAAATATACGTAATCAAATAAGTAAATACTGTTTTTCATGGTCACCTGCTTTTGTGTTTGTTCTTCCTACTTTATTAATAGTTTCGATTGTTAACTAGTATTTTAAATTTAGTTTTAAAACGTTTACTGTCATGAAATCTGAGGCGCTTCGTTTACTTTTCAAATAAAAGTATACTGAATGATCTAACTTGTAATCTTGTACGAACAGGAAATATGTTTCCATACAAGAAAAGATTAAAGCACGATTTAGTGAACAAGTTGAAAAATGATAGTAATATTGACTAAAATCCAACTAACATTATGTCATAAAGTGAATCAATCTATGGAAGTTACTACATCCTGAATTTCATGTAACCAAATTAGCACTTAATACAAATAGCATACGTGAATATATGTATATAGGAATTGCAACTATACTAAAAATATCTTTGCTATGTTATCACTTATATGACAAATATTCAAATTTAAATCTACCTTATTTTTTAAGAAATCTCTGGGATCCTTCCTACAAATTATAACCCACTTAATACTTGCTTACAACACTGGTTTATATTTGGTGATAAGTTCATATTCATTAAAAGTTAGCTTCTGGAAGTTTCAACGTTTATTCTTTTTTACTTCAAGGAAATGAAAGATGTTACTAGCGAGCCATCACCATCTTCACAGTACTCTTCTGGTTACGTGTCAGAAGTCACAAATTTATTGAGTTCTCCAAATTCCCTTGGAAGACCTGAAGTTGTAGAAAAGAATAATGAAAGTTTTGTGAATACTCCAAATAAACACCATGAGGTTGAAGCGCTTACAACTCCAATAAACAAATCTAACCAACCTTACGACAACGGATGCTTCAAAATACCACCACCGCCGCCGCCCCCACCACCACCTCCACCCATGTTTCTGCCACCCACATCTGTTTCATCAGCTTCAGGTTCTTTGACTCACACTATACCTGGTTAGTGTTATTTAATATATTTACTGGTGTACAGGTTTGTATAAGGCAACAATGTATAGTTTAATGTGTTGGTATATTTTTCTCAGAGCTTATCTACCTAAGATACTTAGGTTGAACTAAGGATAAACTTTCACTTTTTTCAGTGAACAAATGAGCATTTCGTATTTCAAAGTTCTACGGATAAACATAAAGTATTCATCTCCTAAGTATAATACTGCCTACTTTTGTAATAGTAGTAGTAGTGATGGTAGTGGTATACGAATATTTGAAAGTAATCAATCCTTCAATGTATAGTCTTTCCGTATTTGCATTTATCTACGGTTTTAAGTTTAGGTCCTGGGATCTCAATTTGTAATCCCATGTTTGTTTTAAAGTAAAATAAATGAAAACATGACATAAAATCAACTCACACCTACTTTGTGTTTCAAAGGGTATTATACTTTACCATCAGAAAAGTATGTTATCTTATAACTGTATGTTACTATAGTTCGTATAATTAGCAGAATTTTACAAAAGTGACAAGAATATGAGAAAGGACCAACTCTTTTTTTGTATTAATGGATATAGCTTTTAAGTGCAGAAACTTTTTTGGAAAGTGAATGATTTTGAACTCGTTTAATACTATATTCACTTATCCTTAGAAAGTAATCATAATTAGGTCACAAGTGTAGTACGGTATGTCATTCAAAAAGTTCCTAGATACTTAAGTATTAAGTTTAAGGTTTCTTCAATCTTATAGCATTAGATATTTTGAATTGTACCATGTACAGCTACTTCTTTTTGATGCTTTTTTGAAAAGTTGGACTTTTTAGTCCTTTAAGTATTGTCAAACTACTTTGACCTAAATTCAGTAATCCTTTCACTAACAGCAATATGTCAAATGTTTACAACGTTTTATTTATATTTCTCTAAATACTCATTCCCATAAGTTGTCTGTCTTGTTTTCGTATTAACTTTTCATTCATTCTCAAATTTGGTCGATTCAAAACACGTATTCAGTTTAACTCATTTGTTCATATTGTGACTCTGTTTGATGACGTAAGAGGAGTAAAATGTTCGCCTGATCTATATGATATAACGTAATACGCTTTGAATAGTAATCTTATCATACATTAACCTGTTAAGATATTAATATGAGAAATAAAAAGGTCAGTCCAAGTTAAGTATAAGAGAAAAATTAGGTTGCTCGCTCCTGGTCATTCATAAAAAGGGTGTTTTTAGTCAACTTTTTACTTCCTTTAATGAATATTCGTCACCTACATTCACCGGATACTTGGATTCGGTTTGAATCTACAATATTTTAAAACAATTTAAGTCATCATTAATTACATATTAAAATCACACATCCATATGTTTGTGTGAGTACGAACACAGTGGGATTTGATGTAAACATTTATGTAATATTTGAAGCCTGGATATCGTCTAGTATCTTTCATGATATTTTCTTGTTAAAATATAACTGCAAGCATGGTTCCTTTAGAATATCACACGGTTCTAGTAGGTTTTCTTCAGTAAAAGGAATACATGATCCATACATAATCCATCTACTGGTTTCATATCTGTCGATTAATTATTCGTAACATGCGTAGAAAGTATTATTATTGTTCAAACTTTTATCTGCTTTGAAATTCCTGGGTTAAGATTTAGTCCCATTTTCTGAGCTAGATGGTTTGGTCGTGATGCTTTGATTGTTCTTCTGAACAACGTCATCAGCACAAACTTCAGGTAGAAGTGAAGTGTTTGAATTTCTCCACATATGTCTCACAGCTTGTCCTATCGACCTTGATCCTGATTGGTAATTGTTCATTTTTAAACTGTCATTGATTACTTCTTTATTTTGATTGTGTCTCCCATTGATTTTTTCGGTCTTGTATTTGACCGCGATTTTGTATTGGTTGACAAATCAGACCGACTTCAATGTGTTTGTTGATTACTGATTGATCTGAGTGCTAAGCTTCTAAAAATTCTCTGGTTTTTTTAGAATTGCCTCTATCTAAGATCTCAACATTGTTTCAAACGAATATGTGTCCACAGTCGTCTACATGCATTGATACAAGCAAAGACATGTCATGGCGTTTGAATACTAATTGATGTTCATGCAGGCGAAGATGAAGGGAGCGTCCACTTTTTCCGATGTAGTGCTTTTCGCAGTTGGGACAACGTATTTTGTAGATGATGTTCGGTTTTTCATTTATCATTTCGTCCTCTGGTTTGTATAGGATTGATTGAATTGATTTTGTTGGTTGTGTGCTACATCTATTTCAAAAGGCTTCAGTAATCTCGTTGAAATTACTGATATGTCTTTTATGAATTGTAGGATGATCCATTTGTTGGTTTCTGTACTTTATTTTGTTTCTGCTGATGCGTTTGGTTGATATATTCTGATGAAGCTGATTGGGTAGTCGTTCTTCTGAATGATAGTCTTTAGATATTTTTCCTCATTTTTCTACTCTGCAAGTGTGTTGCATTGTGTCCTTGCCCTGTTGAATAACGTTTGTTCGCAGTATTATCCTTAGATGTACTAAGGACCAGTACTGACGCAAAAAAAAACTGGGGACTCAAGTATGTCGGTGTCCAATCCACACAGATAAAATTCCAAACTACAGTAGCAACAACTCATCAACTCACAAAATCAATGAAACTTCATCTAAATTATTCACCTGAGCTACAAATCTCCACCATCTCACATATCTGAGTTTTCGGATAGATGTTTTCATGTCACTTTCAGTATATTTCACTTTGCAATTCCTCTACTCAATATGAAATTAAATTATACTCCATAAAAATCCCGCCGACTGTGCTTTGCTGATTAAATTTCCCTCTTTCTTATGAAACCATATTCTCTATGTTTGGTCCTTCTTACAATAACTGATGTAACTATTGCTTCGATTTCTTTCCAATTTAAATGACGATCGATTTATTCATGGTTTGAGAATTAAGAAACTACAAAGGTTTTGGCCCTCATGACTTATATATAATTTTAACAGTTTATGGCATTATTTTAACGATAATTTTCGTTTTATTTTCCAGAATCCCCAATGCCGTACAATATGAAGCCGAAAAGAACGTTTTCTGCTCCGTTTAGGCTGAAGAAGGCCTGTGTATCTCCAGTAGGTCTAAAGTCTTTCATAAACTTTCCGAATTCCTACACCGTTAAAAGTAATTCAAGACCGAAAAAGTCGATGAACTGAAAGGATAAGACTAAATAGTTTGATTCATTAGTGTGTTCCATTAGTTCATATTTGGATGAATAAATTATTGTATCAGTGGTTTAAAAAGCGAATTTCAACCTTTCGATCACCAGCTGGAACTCCATATTACAATTTTGACTTCTGTAGTCGCATGAATTCTCATATTTGTGTTCATTAGGTATATTTCAATTCTGGTGCATAAACCTGTACTTGCTCTGTGACTTTCATAACACTCCATGAAAAGTAAAACAAAAAATGAACTACTAAGCACTAATTTGTTATGATACTTCAAAGTTTGTATTTTTAAGGTCTTTTTGAACCAGACTTTATATTCATAAAGGTATATTTTCTATTGATATAAATAATAATAATAACATTTTTACTACTTTCCGAAGAATCACATTCAACTTTTGAATACATTAAGCTTCATATTAATTCATATCATCAACATAAACACACTTGTTTAGGTAATACATGTTTATAATAAATAAGCACCAAACCAAAAGAGAATGATTTCTACCATAAAAATACTTATAAATGTTTCCAAGTGATGAATTCTTCACTTTGATTTATATCATTGTCGAACTAAACAATATAATTTCAGTATAATCTTTATGGGTTTTTTTATACAAACAATAACAATGTAAACATTTATTACTTTTCAATAGTTGAGCAAATCTCGTTTGAAAGAAAATTCTGTATGGGTATTTATTGATGATAGTGATTTATTAAGTGAAGAATTCGTCCGTCAACTTCATAGAAGATTTCGGATCAAAGGAAATAAAGCAATGGTTAGTGTTGAGATTAATCTTCATTCTTTTTTAATTTTTTTTCTCGCCAAACCATTTCACCGAGAAAGTTTGGAAGTACCGTGTAAATAGTGTTCTTTTGATGAGTTGTTCAATTGGTTTATGTGAACTTAAGACTGTAATTCATTTATGTCATGATTTGTTTATTACATGTAACTTCGGTTAGCTCTATAAAGACCATATATCTGTGTGGGATTTGAATCTTAGTGAAGTTGCTAACGCTAAAATATAAGTGATTCAATCGACCAGTCGCAAGTACGACAGCATCCAATTCCTGAACTGCGATGCTAAAGACTTTCAAGAATATATTAAGTTCAGTATTAAAGGATATTTGCTTGAAATGCCATTGTAATTAAAATTATTTGTTAGCAAAATGAAGTTGACCAAACTAACCTTTCAAGGCCTGCCGTCAGTAATAATCATCCACAAAAGATCAGCATCTTGAGGAGACAAAATATTCGTGGTCCAGCAAAAACATTTTAGACTCATTTAGATACTCGTTATGCAAAAGCCATTTTTCTAAGTTTTCTCTCAAGTAGGAGAGTTTCTTTTCTCTAACTTATTACTATTTCTTGATATTCGATTACTTAAGTAGTTTACTCAATCAGCATGTAAATATACTTTGAATTAAACTTCATTTATAATGTATCTACATATATAAGAATGTGTGGTATGCTCGTTAGATAGGTAAATGTACTAATGAACACTTTACTAAATTATATCATGTAAAGTTTTCACTACATTTATATCCAGTAGATATTTTTCCACGTGGTGTTTGAAAGCTCTTGTCTATTTTGATTATGCTTCTGTGTTTTCTGACTGCTTTTAGTCATCAGATAAATTGGAAATAGACTGTGGGAGTACTGTAACATCTTTATTCAATACCCCAGGTTCAAAAACTAGCCAAAACCCACGATTATCAATACATTCGAGTGCAAACACGTCTGTAAGGAGATCAATACGTTTCGGATCTCAGAGTCTTGCCTCTCGTACTCAAACATTGGATCTATTGCCAGTGAAAGCAGCTCAGGCGATAGCTATAGCTATGGCATCAGCGCATTTGAATCCAGAGGACGTAGCTCGATCTATTATTGAACTAAAGACAACAGTTAACCTTCGTCGCAGCAAATCCTTTCCAAATGAGAATACAAAACATAAAAGTGAAGACAAATCGAGTTTCTTGACTAGTACAACCTCGTTCCAGTCGATACCTGAAACTTTGTTAGACACCCTAATCAACTTTACACCGCAGATGGACATCATACTAAAACTGTCTGAATGTCAGTTGGAAACCTCGGTAAGAGATTAATGTACTTACATTACATAGACAATCTTAATAAAATGATCGGAAAGCTTTATATATTTGTATTTAGTGGATACATTTAACTTATGCTAACATTCCTTTCTGAGACATTGAATGATGTAGTTTAATTATGCGTCATACAACTTCTGTTAACCAATCAAACTTTTAAATATGATTTTTTTCCTTTTTTAGAATCTTATTGAAGCAGAGAAACTCCTTTACATGATATCTCAACTTCGCCATCGACTACCTGCTCATCTCCATGCTTTACGCATGCTTCTCCAATTCGATACAACTGTTGATCAATTAAAGCAGGCACTTTCATCTGCATGTAAATGTCTTTTCGAGATAAGACATTCTAATTCCTTCTGTCATGTCCTTTCATGTGCGCTAGCTTTGATTAATGCTTTAAATGCCACTAGACAATGCTCAGTTAATGAATCTACTCAGTTACCATCTGCTCACTCAGGCCTAACAGCTTCGCATGGATTCGTAAAACGTAAACCTTTTCTTGGTTTTGAAGTTAGAAATCTAGTCCGACTGGCTGATACTCGTGATATAACTAACCAAAGGAATTTAATCCATTATTTAGTAGAATTAATGGAACTGAAGTAAGGAATATACTGACAAACATTATTTTGAAAATTGTATTTTAGTTTGCAACTAAGTCACTCTAGTTTCTTTTCGTCTTTCTACATCCGAATATATATATATGTCATGAATAAGTAGGAAAGTTCTGTCCGTCATCATTATGATCATACGGTTATAGTCGTAGACTTCAATAGTTAATGCTTAAATTTACATAAATTGAGTAATAGAGCTGTGGCGAAAAAATTTCAAGCTGATGAACTTACGTTTTTTCAACTTTTTAATAATAAACTAGTATCGATCGGAAAACAATAAAACTTTAGTATAAATTGTGCCGGCAAATATTTTGTTAGAATGAAACAACTGCCTAATACCTCCTCTTTCTTAATGTTTTTCGATGTTCGGGGATAGAAGGCAGTCAGGAGGGCACCCTAGACCTAGATCTCGTATTAGTTGGCAAGGCGAACCTCTAATCTTGAAGGACTAAGATATTCATATCGGTTACCACTGAGTGATCAACCGATTTCATGCTTGTCTACTAGTAGAGATCGAGTTTTATTAATTTACTAAGATACCTAATTATTGATATGTTTTTGGTCCGATAGATATTTGAAGAGTGAAATAGTATTAAGTCAGGATTTCTTACTTCTCATCGTACGTCATATTTATTGAAAGTAACTTGGCAGTAAAGTTTTAAAAAAAAATTGATATAGCGATGTATAAAGTAGGCACATTTTTATATAATTTTTAAATGATTGTAAGACACATTGATACATAAATATTCAACTTCCTTTGATATCTTATAGTTTTACTGAGGAAGCTCATTCATGGTCTGATGAAATGCCTACATTAGATGCTGCACAAAGTTTATACTGCGCAAAAACAATTGAAGAGAAACTGGTCGAAACGAAACGTGACGTTGCTCGTTTAGAAATAGATTTAAGAGGAGTTGGTGGAGTCGCAAATTCAAACAACACGGAATGGGTTATCAAATCTAATTCAGATCCTAAATCAGATGCTTTTAAAGCAAATTTATGTTTTGGTTTAGTGGTGGGACAATTTTTAGCTCATGCAATGCAAGAATTAAAGTTACTGAGTGAATTACACAAAACATTTACCGAAAGATATAACGAGGTATTTATTTGTATGATTCACATTTTGACCATTTTACCCTGAAAATTATACTTAATAAGTTAGCTTTAATAAATTTGCTAGCGATTGTGTTTACATTTCATCACTTCAAACTATCAGGGTCTTTTTATTATAAAACAACCGGTTTAAACTATTTATAGTATTCGTTCCATTCAAAAATGTTAGAACACGGAATGCTTTTCTCAATCTATTAGACATTTACCTGCGTGTGCTTCCGACTTAATAACATTATGTTCATAAGAACTGTTACATTTCACCATAACTTCGAACTTGCGTTGAAACATATTAACGAACTGAATTACTGTAACTTTGTCATTTAAACGGATCTTATTTATTTTCACTTAGAAAAATCATGAATTAGTAAAGAAATACGTATGCATTATTCTACTGTTTCTCAAATAAGGATTACTACACGTCATCAGTCCACTCGATAGTTTTCATTAGCATAGTAAAAGAATTGTGTGTATTTTAAAGTATTTTAAAAAATAAGGTAAGTAGCCCGGAATTCTTGAAGGGATGAAAAGAGAATACTCAAGCTCCAATATTAAAGATGTTTAAAGGAAGATTAAGAATCAAATAAAAATTCTGTGGAGAGAACCATTTCCGACATTCTTAATAGTTTGGAGTTTTATATTTAACACCTTTGAACAGGATGTAGTATGGTGAAGATGTTGGAAATATTAAATGCAAATAAACTAAAAAAAATCCATTTTGCCTCTGGTTTCCAGCTTGGTTTATATCAAGGTGGTGGTTAGTGGTAGTCGACAAAAAACCGTGAAACTAGGTTTCGGGTTATTTGACACTCATCGGCAAGGTGTACCTGTAATCTTGAGAGAAATAATGCTCCCCAGAATATTCAATCTCGTGTCACCCAGCTTCACAATCAGTCACATTACCACTGAGAAATCCGAGTTATCGCCTACCTCCTGTAAAGCTGAGATGTATTTACAACCGATTGGTCACCGCGTAGTAACCAATCTCACATATGTCAAAATCACCTTAGTGCTAATTGAATTCTATCGATCAATATGCAACGTGGCCATTAGTCTAGATAACTCAACATTAAATGCACTATGCTGAGATATAAGGTGGTGGCTTATACTAGTGCTCTATATGGGTGAGTTAACATTAGCATTACCTTCAACTCATGGTACAATATGATCTGTTTTTCATTCAGCTATCCGTATTTTAAGATGAGTTGTACATTCCGGCTTTTGGAAATGTTTCTAAAATATTTTTGAGTAGTTTCAATTTAAATGTATTTCATAAATAAATCTTTTACCAATTGGTATCTACTTGCAGTAATACAATTTACGTTAGTGAATATAGCTATTATTATTTTTATTATTAGTAGTAGCAGTATTGAACTACCAGATTATTTAACGTTCAAATGACTTCATCTTTATGTGTAAATTCAGAATAAAATATGGAAATAATAGATCTTATCATTCTGGATAGCTTATTTATCTAAGAACAGATTGACTAAAGAATACCATGTTCTTGTATTCAGTCAAGTTACGTAATGCAGCTACTCTATGAGTATTATTTCATTGTTATAAATCATTCATATAAATATTAGTGTACATCCCTGATGAAAATAAATTTCATCGCTCTTTTGGTTCTTTTAAGTAAGTGATATTTTGTCGATGTAATTGTGTGATACTTTCTTCAGGTTGTAAAAGCAAAAACAAGCTATGAGCAAATAGTGATAAAAGTAGTAATTTGTTTATTTTAACAGTTTTGATTGAATGAAACTGTTCTATTTCAGATCACTTTCAGTTGTATCGTTTTTATATTAATAAACTGTTTCTTTCTCATTTTATGCATTATCTTTTTCGTATCACATTCTTGTAGTAAGAACGAATAGTTTACTGTTCACCAGACCTTTGCTCGTATGTATAAGTAGTATGTTTTCATAAGCGTTCTATATTATAGTGTGATTAATTTACGGATGAATTGAGTGAATACAATGTTAACACTAAATGTCGAAACTTTATTTTATGGTTTTATTACAAAATGCTGTCAAAATGTCATCACATCACTTACGTATACACACATTCTGTTATCTTAACACTTTCGTTTCATATCACATGCCCAGTCCTTATGTGTACAATAACACGTTTGTCTTAACCTTGAATTTACCTTGTAATCCGTAAGTCATTCTATGGCCTAGGATAACACGACAATTCCTTATTCTTTCTCTTCCCTTGATTATTTTCTAATTGAACTTTTATTTAGTTGACCTTAATTATTTTCATATAAACATGTCTCTTACACATTAATGCAAATACCTATTTATAAAATCCTTCACGTTGATTAGATGACTTATTCAGTGTACAGTTAACCGAAGAACCATGTACCTAGTTATATTCGATAATTTTGTTGTTTGATTATATTTTCCTTGAAAAAGCTTGAACCAGATTGCCAGGCGAAACGTTAGAATTACTTCAAATTCTTTCGCTGAGATTTTACAAATATATATTATTCCTCTTTAATGACTCACATTAACTCGGCGCCCAAATATTGTGAAACTATTCGTTCAAATTTAGACGAAAGTTCTTATTTAGGAGATACTGTTTGATAATGTTTAAAATGCAACAATGCTCATGACTGATTCCTAAAAAAACGAAAAAAATATGATTCTACCATCTCTTAGCCTACTCTAGTTTCCATAATCTTATTTATAGTGAATGGAACGATATTTCTATGTTATTTATATATTTACATTTCTTTTTTTTCTTCTTTTTAATGCTTCTGTTGACAATAGGTTGCTAATTATCTTGCTTTAGATCAAGCAAAATATACTGCTGATGAACTATTTAATGATCTGAAAACCTTTAGAGAACTTTATCGTAAAGCTTGTATATCTAAATAAATAAAAAGGTTGGATTTGATAATTATCATATGAAAATAATGTATTATATAGTTGTATTATAATGAACTCTTAAGGATAAAAGTTATTTCATTCACTATATTGTATACAATTTCCTATTTTAAACTTTTAAGCCTAATGATCACATGTTAATTTTTTCATTAAATTTTATTTAGATAATTGTTAAAAACAATTAATGAATTGAATTAAATTCATTGTTGATTTTATTTTTGATGTTTTTCTATCTTCTTGATTCTTTATTTTTACTTCATAAACAGTAGGTAACATCCCGTACGTATCTTAAGTGCTGTTAGAATTATAAGGGCGGTTGTCACTTCGCGATTGCTCACACTGTGGAAGGGTTCTTCTGGAGGTACCTGAAAAGGAAATTGGATAAAAGGTGGTCTTAGTGACCTAAGAGTGTGACCGCAATGTCCAAGGGACAACTGCTTGAGGTCGGTCACACACGACCGTTTTTGAGTAATTTTCGTGTTAGCACCGTACTTGTTGGGAACTTGCTGCCGGAAACAGAAATACATGGGATAAGGAAAGGTATGCGTTATTAAGGTCGACCTGTTCTAACTCCAACTTTCTTGTGGGAAAGCAGCATCACTGTCATGCTGCTTGTCTGAAAGAAACACCTTACTGCTGTCACACCTCTGTACAGTCAGTAGTACGACTTCGCCCTCAGACCTTGGATTTGCTGCTTTTAATCTTACCATTCTTGACTCGGCCTGTCTGGGATGGTAGGACCTTAGGAACGGTCGTTCCAGCCGGTATAGCTCGATTGGTCCATTATGATATGCAAGCACAACCACCACATCATGGTAGCAACAACAATCGGGTCCAGGACGTATAATCTATAGTGTATGGGTATTGTTGAGTAATTCATTTGAAATCAAATGTCACTAATCCCCGTATGTAGTTTAGTACTTTAGAAAAGCAGTAATAGGATCATCATGATACCGATTGAGACGCAGTAAATAAATGGAGTAAATGATAGATTTCTTTGGTTTATTAGCTACAAATTGAATGCTAACGTTAAGTATATGTGGTTGTGTCACGGAATGTTTCAGAGAGGTAATAAGAGACTCGTTAGCGCGAAAAAGATATTAAATGTACATATAGGATTGTTTATTTATTGTCTGAAATTCAAAGTACGTTCGTGATGATAAAGAGTTAGTTTGATATTTAAATATACGTAGTTACCAGTAACTGAGAACCATACGGGTTTTAGACAGAGATCTTTTAATACACTAGAGTAATTTGGAAGAACTAAAAGAACGTATTGACTGTTTCATAATCCAGAACATTCACGAACTAGTAAAAGTGCAAGTAAACTTTTCATGTTCCGCATACTTTGAACCCATTTACTAAACATGAATTCACCAGATATATTGTGTTTATTTGAAGAATATTAAGGACAGTCCATATTAATTCCATCTTAGAAGATCAGTCTTCATCATCACCATTGTCCATTAACTGATTAACGTTGCTTAAATCAATCAACTTAGCATTACTTCTCTATCGCTACAGGCCTTCAGGCAGGAGAGTTATAGCACCTCATGGTGATACCCGACATCCCTTGGTAATCACGAGGTTAATAGATTTTTGACATCCAGGGGGGTGAAAAGAAATATCTTACTAAGTGTGGGAATCACATAGATATCTTACTACTTTCAATTCATGTAAGGTTCTCATGAAGTGCCAGTAAGAGGACAGATTTACTCATTAGACATTTAAGCTCGAGACCAAGGTGAATTTCGCAAGGATCGCTCTCGTATCGGCCAACTTGATACAATACAGTCATTGTTGAACGATCGATTGGGTGGGAATCATGCATCAACTTTCCACATTATGAGAAAGCATTTCACACAGCGGATAGGAGAACCATGTGGAATCTTCTACTATTTAAAGTACCTGAGAAGATTGTCACCATCATATGGAACGCGTATGAGTGTGAACCGCAAAGTCATACATAAAGAGCGACTCACAGATCCGTTTCAGGTAAAGATTGGTGTCGGACAAATCTATCTTCTCTCGTCTTCGCTCTTCCGGTTGTTGACTGTATTACAAAGATTCCCACATTTCATGGGTGGCTTGGAATTTAGTGAATTCGTTTGGAAAAAATTGCTATCGAATACACAGCAACAGATGCAGTCAAATACAACCAATGTGTCAATGGCTTCAGCAGCAGCACGACTAAAGATTAACAAAGTATAAACCAAGATCTCAAAATAAAACATAGCGAGCAGCGACCAAATCACCTGACGATTAGTATCCGAAAGATGTAGGAGTAGTATCACTGGTAAACAAGGTGGACCTTATGAAGATGTGGGGACAAACTGAAAAGTAAAGAGAGTATTCCGATTATTGAACAGTACGTGAAACTCGATAGAACTGTTAGTTAACGCTAAATCCAGAAGTTTCAATATCAACTTTACAACAGTTCTACTGTACATGTGCTGAAACTTGAAGAACTACCACATCACTAATAAATGGTGCGAGTATTTACAAACAGTTGTTTAGCCAGAATATTTCAGACCCCTAGGTCTGAAGCAATCATTAGTAACTTACTGTAACAGGGAATAAACAAAATTCCAGTCAAAGATAGGAGCTGCATTTTACCATTTCCCTTTCTAACGCTTATCCACTTCTCCTTATCGTTGACAGATAGTAGGGTACTAGCAGCACTCGGTAATTTCGTCGATTTATGAGCTCAGAATGTGGTTTTTATAGTCGCGTGATAAGCCTATTTGACGATTTGGACATACTGTTGGGGACTGATATGGTTGCTTCCAGTGAGGTCTTATCCTTTTCCCTTATTAGTTCCGTTTATTCATATTTTCTACACTGTAGAGAAACATACCAGAACCACGGAATAGAGTGACTTCACGTCAAGCTCGTAGTGATGCCTAGGCACTGCAGCATCACAGCGACAGTCAGCCCAGCCACTTTAGAAATTTCAATCGAATTCTGAGTCCCTGGTTTTAATGAGTGGTGAGCATGTGATACAGTCACCGTTTTTGTGTTGCTTCTCCCCAGTAATCAGCACCACACGTAGTTTGAAACATCCTATTCTTTTGTTCCATTTTTGCTTACTTGTATAACCGGAAGTAGGGACATGGGCAGCAGTCTGTTCCTGAATACTTAGTAAGACATTCAATTTTGGTGTTTCAGTCGACTAACCCATGTTATAAATGTTACTCTGAGGTTCTTAATCTGATGTAGTCTTTAGCTTTCTTATAATCCTATTTGTAGAAATAGAGACTGTCGACTTGTTATAAACCTCTGAATTTAGACATATACCTTGTAGTTATGATGTTGGTATTGGTGGCAACACTTTTGTGTATGCAGCTCAACAGACTAAAAAGCAAAATTCAAGACATTCTAAGAATGAGGTACCCGAGATGAAAGGTTAAAAAAGGAAAAATAATAAAAATAAGTGAATATATACTAAACGAGAACAGAACCTCAAAATTACTTAAAATCACAACATTATCTTTGACCTTATTGGCAAGCAGCTTAGCGTTGATCCAGTAACTTATCCACAAGTCCTGTGTTCACACGAAATGGGTGTATGTATGATGAAGAAACTAGGAATACAGCATTTGATTGGGACAGCTATACTTACAACACAGTAGTTCGACTGTTGTATGATTATGGTTTCCCGATTTGTTATTGGGGTTATTGTGGTGTTTGAATGGACTAATGATACCTTTGTACTGGTTGAATGCTTGATCTCGAATTCTAAATACAATACATTCGTTTGTGCCTGTGTCTTCTTAATTCATTTGCGTTAATCCTGGAATTCCTAATTCATACGACAATTAGAATACTATAGTTATCCACCAGCGGAGTGAAGACGCAGCTCGTATCCTTGAAAATGCTTAAATATTCTAAAATGGTGGTATATAGCTGGAAATTTCCAGCTCGAGGTCACGTCACACAGGTGATAGAGTCGCAAGTGAAGATGACTCTGTTTTTACTGTCTCTAGCTACAATAAACCTGCATTAACGATAAAAGTTTTCATTCTGCAAAGCAAGCGCTTGATACTTAACGCGCAGTTATATATGTTTGGGTTTCAGCTTAAGTTTAATTCACAACATTCAGTTAAATGAATTTCAGATCTGGTGAGATCCGAAGATTTATAATTTACCCAGAACTTGTGTTCTTTTATACACAATCTGGTAGTGAGGAAACACTTAACGTCAGGCTCACAACCGGAAACTTGTGATGAGAATTACTATAGAGACATGCTCACCTTTGTAGTCAATCTTTGGTTATTATGCACGTAATTATGCAGTATGAACTCTGGTTAAGGAATCGCAATGCATTTTTACAATGATATGTGCTCCAGAAAAAAGAAATTTCACAAATCCTAATCATTTTAAATCAGTGTATATACTATAATATTTATATTATGACCTTGTAGTGTGGCGTCGAGTCGCGGTTGACTATGATCACCACTGCAGGATGACTACGTGCCGGTTAACTTATAAGATTCTCCGTAGGTCAAATATCAGAAGGCAGTTGATGGCTGTAGTCAAGATGTATTTGTTGACGATCTAGTGGTATCGAAAGAATATCGAGATCAATGCCAGGTTACAAGTGTGGTTACTGAATTCGTGCAGGGTCACAATCAACGGAAGGATGTATGTCCTTAGTACAGTCAAACAAACAAGCAAAACAATGCCTGGCACGATCGGTCATAATAGTAGTTGTTTCTATTACACCAATCGCGTTCTGTTGATAAAAGTAGGTCACTAAAACCTAGTGACTAAGAGTAGACGAAAAAATGAATTATTAAAACGATAATTGATGAAAAGGGATATGGTTATTAGAGTTCCTTGACATTTTACTGTCTGTTAATGTATCTTTGATTTTGAAGAACAGCCTTACTGATTCTAGCTTCGATTTTCCTACCATCTGAACTCACTTCACCTTGTTACACATCACAACTCGCCATTATTTATTGCTGTATTCCC